TTATTAGTGCTATATGGTACTAACTTCTCCAGGACTCTGTGGTTGATATTGCCAACACCATAGGGGCCATCTTGTCAGCTGTTTCTACAGCGCGCATTGTTTCATAAATAGGCAGAAGTTAAAAGAGCAACTAATTTTCAAGTTACTTTTCAAGTGAAAAGTTTACATATTAATCTTCTTAGACTTGGGAAGCATAGATCTTACCACTGTAATCTACAAATTCCAATATTCAATTTCAGTAGAATTTGAAAATGCAAATTTCTCACACCTTTCCTGTCCTCCCTGGATTTCAAGCACAAGTGGATTTCAGATACAAATTCCCTTTCAAGGTTAGTCAATCTTTAAACACTGGTTGACTCCTATCATTTTCTCCCTAGTTACACTCGAGTTCTTTTGCTCACTCCATAGTTGTGCCCCTTAGGAAGGCTACGTGACAAAAAACAAAACAGACAATTTGGTCAAATTATGAGTCAGTTCAGTAATAAGAAACATCAGTAAAATTGGTGGTAGGGTGCAAGGCAGATAGATAGATCACTGGATCACATCATAACATCAGAGATTCAGAGCTGCATGGGACCCATGCAACATCCTGTTAACTCACTGCGTTTTTCAAGTCTGTATCTTATAAAGCCAACCTGAAGAGTCATGTAGCTTATGCCAATAAAGAAAGCTTTGGCACGGTCTACTTTGTTGAACATTCGTCCACAGTGCTACCCTGAAAGGGACAGCTGAATTAAGAGAATTCAAATTTCATATAGTGAGGATGACCCCATCTAATTAATGTAGGAGAGCTATCCAATCAATCTGATGAGTAATGTTTGATGATCCATACACAACCACCACTGATATCTGTCAGGTGAATTGGGAGCTTGGGAGGACTTGGGACTTGCTTTTTTTTTTCCCCCCATCAACTCCAGCTTCCATTACCAGAGAAGGGGTCAATACTATTTGGAATTGCTTTGTTTCCATCCAGTAGAGGGCAGGTATGCACCCATAAGGATTCAAAATATTCATAGCAATATTCCTAACACTGGAGTCAAAGGTTTCTATTTGAGTAGTTACCTAGGAGCTAGTAGAAAGCAAAGAGGAGACCTTTATGGTTAACTTTTCTAAAAACCATTAATTACATTAGTGTATGAAGGAAAAACAGTGCCTTCTCTTACCTTCCCTGCCTGACTTAGGGGCCAAAGCACTGTAAGCATGTTCTTCTCTTACTTAAAAAGAATCCAATACAATCCTAATTCAATTAATAGATAAAATAATTCAAGTAATAGATAAAAGTACACACCAGGCTGGTTCATAGAAACAAAGACTACCATCAGCCAGTGCTAATTATCACTCCTCTCTTAGAACAGGAGTATTTAACCATTTTGTCATGGATTCTTGGGGCAGGCTGATGAAGCCTGTGGCCTGTGGACCTCTTCTCAGAGCAGTGTTCATGAATTCATAAAATAAAAAAATTGGATTACAAAGAAAAACAATTATGCTAAAATAGTTATCAAACTGTTAAAAAGAAATTCACAGACCCCATGATCAGTACCATTGTCTTAGAGGGTCATAAACGCAATGGGCAAAGACTACATAATTTTCAATGTGTTACCTCACATATTTTTATTATCTGTTGAGTGATGATGATGATGATAATGATGATGATGACTGAAGACACAGTCAACAGCAAGGAAGGCATGGGTTGAAGTTCCATCTCTGACATATGCTGAGTGTGTGACCATGAGCAACTATTTCACCTTTTGGGACCCCAGATAATGTTCTAAGATTAGAAGGTGCAGAGTTTTCGCTGTTCTGCATTGGTAGAGGAAACTCCCTCTGGGAAGCACCCTACACTATCATGATCATAAATCTAGCAAAAAAAAAGTTACATGAAACTGGAGAGCCATCATGTTTTGTCATCAATTCAGATGGTGGTATTTTCAGAAAGTTATTATATCACTAGTTGATTTCTATCTTAATTAGTGATAAGTGCAATGTGCTTGGCCACTATAAAACTGTGCTAATATAATGAATAAACATAAAGTTCAGCTGAGGCAAAAAGTGAATACTATTATTGTACTACTCTTAAAGATACCTTCTAGCTAGATCCTTTCATTTCGTAACTCATTCTATCGCCGTATGCTTATGTCTCAGTTTGTAGGACTCCAAGCTCCCAGCCAAGTACTTTTTTGGTCTTCTCTTGTCCAGACTAGTTTCCTTCACTTTGATAGCTTCTGACCATGGAGTAATTAGGAGACCTTTAGTTTGGAAATGAGCTTCATAAATCAGATACTGGAGAACAAAGGTAGTCTGTTCCAATAAATAGTACCAAAAGTACCAAATAAATACTCTATTTTTTTATGAAGGTTCCAGTTGCTCTAAGCATGCAGAAGCTATGTACGAAATGGGCAAAATTCTCCCGGGAATTCAAAGAAATTTCTGGAGCAGGAAGGTCACCATTATGATGATCATATTCAATATAAATTGGTTTATTGGTCCCAATAACAGGAACTATAAGTAGCTGTTGCCTCTTGATGTGAAGATGGGTAACAATAGGCCCAGAAGTTAGAATGAGAAGATAGAACAGTGGGTTAGCGGAGTTGTTTAGAGTAGCACCATACCAACCCAGCCAAGATGCCAGTTCACTCTCATATGGGCCAATGAGCTCGGCTCTGATTGCCAACCACAGACTGTGCTTCAACCTCAGCCATTCACCATGTGCCCTGCTAGTCACACAAATTCATCCTCTATAAATGGAAAAGCAAACTGAGAAAAATGGCCTAGTAATTGTGGGCCATCTGCATTATCTTTATATAAGAATATCCAAACATTTTGTTTTTTCTTTTAGGTGCAGAGTCCTAGACTGAAGCAATGAGGCATAATATACAAGTGATAGGAAGCAATGACTACCTGTAGACCATGTAAGCCTAGAGTATACCATCCATCAGGACTCTGGGTGGAGCAAAGACAGCCCAGGAAGCAAAGCTGCCACAATGGTACCAAAATTTTGTAAGCAAACAAAAAATGCCAGTCTCAGTTGCTAAGATGATGAAATTGTCATCTCGAATATAATATGTTCACAGGAATGAGATCTTATGAGCTGGCTGTTTATAGGCTACAATAAATTGGTACATGAATGGATGGTACCAAAGTCTAAGAACTGAACTGTTGGCACATATCATTTTTTCAGATTACTACCTAATAAAAATAGATTTTAAAAATTTGTTTCTTGGGTGCCGAGGCCTCACTAATTCCAACCAGCAAAGGGGGCCTGAGTATCAATATGTGTGATCACAGTGTTCAGGGCAAAGTCTCATGTTAACTAAAATGCAATTCAAGGTTATGATATCAATCTGTCAAAGCATGCACAGTCTGATGTGGACCTTTGATCATCTCTTTCAATGCATCTTTAATGCAATGAAGATTTCTAGCTCCTGATTTGAATGATAAAGGCCTAGAAAAAAAGATATTCTTCATAATGTTACTTCCACAATTCAGGACTTAAATCAGGTAGGAGCTTGAAAATTTTTTTCCAATACTTATGTCTAGAAGAAAATGAATTTTGTGTGTTTGGGTTCAAATAGTGGACAAAAGAGGCACTCTTATTTTTAAAAATAAAAAGTGTGGAAAAAAAGAAATGTTTAAATAATTGCTGTACCATTCTGTCAGAATCTGAAGGAATCATAGACTTGTTGAGAGTCAGTAAGAGTGGATAGTCTATGTTAGATTGAGACCTCTCAACTGACTATTTTGGCTCCCAATTTGGACAGTGGGAGCCCTGTACTTCGCATCGTAATTCCCAGAAGCTAAACGTACAATCTTGATGACATGTTAATTGTTTTAGTTTCAGCCAACTGTTATTTTCCTTAGGTTAGATAAGTATTCAATATTGAAGGCCTGACTGAGTTCCGACCTTAGGTTATTTGTTCAAAGACTGTGGGAGATTCATTTAGCATCCCTGTGTTCTTGTTTCCCTGTCTGCACGTGAAAATAATAATTTAATTCAGAAATATAGAGAGAGGCACTTCGTAAAAGAGGAGAGATAGGCACAAGAACAATAAAATGACCCAAACTGTGTTGAGACACATGCCCAGCTTCACCATCATTTCAGACATTCAGGCTAATGTGGGACAGTTGAAAAGAAAATGTTATATGTATATATATATTCATTCTCCCAATTTTTAATAGAATGACAACAGTCTTCCCGTGGAGAGTTTTTTTCCCTCAAATAATCATTTAGCTATACTAGGCAGTTAGTGTCCCTGGCCTTTTCCAGAACAGGTTTCGTTTTTCTTTTCCCTGCATGATTTTCTATAATCATGGAAGTTGTACAAAGAGGGATGGTTCAGGAAGAGCAGTTACTAACAGTACAAGCCGCTGGGAGTGGGCGGGTACGTCATGTCGTTGGGAACTGGTAGGGATTGCTCAAAAGTTCTGAGGAAGGATATACGCCAGTGGCTAGCCATATCCCCTTTCATAATGGAAATGCTTGTCCTATTCTTGTGCTTCTCTGGAAGCTGACGCCACAGGGCCTATCCTGCTAGAAGTGCCAGAGTAGGGGAGATGGTAGCCATCTCTGGTTTGGTACTGAAGATAACATTTTTTTCTGGCAACTTTGTTTTATAGCAACATGGATATGCCCTAGTTTAGAGCTATACATGAATGCTTTATTTTAGACAGCAGTTGTCATTTTCAAAAGTACCAAAACTGAATTTTTGCTCGTTGAATTATAAAAGGTAAGTCAACTAGGAGAGTTCATTTTTTTTGTCCATAGCCTGTGAAAAATATTTTTTAAAGATAAGAACCTTTTGTGAATAATCACACCCTAACCTATCTATTTTATGAGTATATTTACAAATGGATTTTTGTATACTGTTTTCCCTATCTATAATTGGAAAGAAAAATTATTTATCCAAGATTTTACAAGAAATGAGCCACTAGTAGAGTAAATCATGGCATTAAATTAACACTAAAACTTTGGGATTAAAAAATAGCAAAGAATTTCTCTTTACCCATGATGCCACTGAGGTAGACTCCATACAGTGATAAGCCAGTTGTAGCAGCATTCCACACAGTTCCAATAACAGCATATAAAAGGATGGTTCCGAGATTTCCAAAGAACAGGCGGTTTGGCATAAAATACCCAGCATCTAATACAATGGGTGGCAGTAGGTAGAAGAAGAATACCGTTGGTGTGAGGGTGAAGGAAGCAAGGTGGTCTGCAGCCCACACAATCCCTCCCAGGATAAGGCCAAGAACAATGAGCAAAGCACTTTCTGGAACAACACTGGTGACTTTGTGAGACAGGTGGAAAACTGAAAAGAAAAAGAAAAAAAGGGTTTTTTTTGTAGAATCAGAACAAAAGGCATATTTCTTAGATAAAATAGCTTTTGCTTAGCATCTTTGACTGCCGTCTTCATCTTTGTATTCCCAACATCTAGGACTATTTTGCATTCCTAAGTACTTTTTTAAGTACTTTTTAAAGTACTTTTTTTAAGTACTGCGATTTCTACTGTCAAGCACAGTCTCCTTTGAAGCCTTATAAGATAGCTTAATGAGTTTCAATGACCAAACAAACAAAACAAAGCACCACCCTCCCCTCTGCCATGTTACCACTTGAGGCCCACCTTCCTGTCATGAACCTCTTTAAACTTAGCCAGGCCATTTGTCAATGGTTACACAATCCATCACTGGGCTTATAGCATGGCAGGACCTGCCAATTCTTGTACTCAGTGCAGCAGCCTGTGAAAACCCATGAGGCATCAGGGGGGAGCTTTCACATAGTAGGCACTTAGTAAATGCTAGTAAAAGTAATATATTTAAAAGCAAAGTCCCCTTCCTCTGGCTTATAAGCTTTAAAAATACCCTTGCACCAGGCCTCCTCCTTCTCTGATGAACAATGAAGCACTCCAGGAAAAGTCTGGCAGTTATGGTAGACATGGGGCCAACAGGGTCCCTCTTGAAGATCAAATGGTTCCTTTCCAGAGCTTCCTTTTAAAATAAATGGAAGCACCTGCAAAGTGGGCAATGCATTTGGTTATAAATCCAATCAAGGTTCATGCTGATGGAATTTTAACATTTTCTCTCTTAAATGCATTTATATCAGATCTAAAAAATCCATGGCCTTTTACAGAACATGGATCTGAACTCACCATTTGGTACTTGGGACAGGAGTCTTCTAGTTGTTCTATTTCCTGTATGGTTATAAGGTGCTCAAGGGAAGAGACTACATGTTTCATCTCATTTCTATTCCTCTACCTTACACATGTTCTTAGAACATAGTAGATATTCAATAAATATCCACTGGTTAATCACTAGTACAGGGGCAGAGGGTTATATTTTCTCTTAGATGTGCTTCATCTGGCTCTGGCCTAACCTTTCCAAACACTCTAGTGTCCAGCCCTTTATGCTGTTCCTTACATGTGGCAGTCTGTCTTATATCTCTGGGCCTTTGAACTGGCTGGCTTCCATTTCCTGAATATTTTTCCACCTAAACTCCACCTTTTAAAATACCTAATCTCCTTGAAGCACCATTTTTTCATGAAGCCTTTCCTGATCTCCTCCAGCTGTTAGGACCACCCCCAAAAATTATTTGGGTATTTATTCTGTATACAATTGTATATGTAATTTCACTGATAGAATGTAAATTCCTTGAGGGGATGGACTGTTTGATTTTTGTCACTGTATCTAAATTACTGAGCATAGCCTCTGGCACATGGTTTTGCTCAGTGTCCAACTCTTTGTGACCCCATTTGGGGTTTTATTGGCAAAGATATTGGAGTGGTTTGCCATTTCCTTCTCCAGATCATTTTACAGATGAGGAAACTGAGGCAAATAGGGTTAAGTGACTCACCCAGGGTCTTGCAGTTAGTAAGTGTCTGAGGCCAGATTTCAACTCAGGAAGATGAGTTTTCCTGACTCCAGCCCAATGCTCTATCCGCTGCACCACCTACCTGCCCTGGCACATAATCTTAATTAATGTTTCTTGATTGGTTTATTGATTAGCTCAAGCTAACCCACATTCCCAGATTCATTTCCTATGAGGCAATATTGTACTCTCCTTTTCCCTAGACACCCAGTTCTTTTTTAATTCACTCACAGGATACAGGCTTCAATCTGATTAATAGCATAGCACAAACACTGTAATATGCTAGCCTCCCTTCTTTCCATGCCTTCACATTTCAGCATAAGAAGACCCTCCCCTGCAAATCACTGTTTTCTTCATTTGCTAATTTGGGTAGAGTTTTTTCTCAAGGCAAAGGTCCACATTTAATTTTTTTTTTCCTGATGAGGAGCTACAGTGAATATCCTTGAAGTCTTTCCATAGCCTCCAAGGCACATATGTGGTGTGGGTACTGACGCAGAGGCTGGGTAGCATGATGTCTCATCAACCAAAAGGGGTTGCTGACTGTGAGGAAAGGGTTTGAGGCAGTGGCTGATTTATATTTAAGCCAGATAAAGCTTTGAGATGATAAGTAGATTTTAATCCAATACTTAGGGACTTCTCTCCTAAGGATCACAACTTTCATCCCTTTCATCTCCAAATTATCAACTAGTCTACTCCCCTAAACTCCTAGGGCAAAGAGTCACCATCTTTTATACCCAGAGGTGAACTGTCCTGAAATGGGACTATTTGGGCTAATATACCTTCTTACTCTATTTTCAGACTAAGAAAATAAGGTGGGGAAAAAAGCTTTCCTTGCATTAAGCCTAACCTACTAACAGTTAATATTGACCCACAAGGTAAAGAACAATTAGATGTGTGTCCGGTCAGTGTCACATTTGCTCACTACAGTTGTTTGCCGAAAAGACTTCTCTTACTATTCAAAGAATTAGGCCTTGATTTGGCTATCACACAAATCTGGTGAAAGGGCAACATTCTTTTGGTAAGTTATCAAAAAGGTGTATAGGAACAGTTATATCTAATAATGAACTTTATTTATCAGCCCAGAAACTCCAGCAGGACTAGGTAACAAGTATTCCAGAAGAAAAGGAACTTTCTGACAGGGCCCGGCAGAAGAGCAGGGGCATAGCAGCAAGTTTTTCTTTTTCTTTTTTAATTAATTTATTTTGATTTATCAACAATCACTTCCATATGCTTTTGAATTTAAATTCCCCGCCCTCCCCTCCCCAAGATGGCACATAATCTGATACAGGCTATACATATACATTCCTATTAAACATATTTTCACATTAGTGATGTTGTAAGTAAGAATTAGAACCAATAGGAGGAACCACCAGAAAGAGGAAACAAAACACAACAGAAGAAAAAAATAGCAAATGGTATGCTTCGATCCAGCAGGAACTTTTTCATCAGTAATCAGTGACTGAACTTATTTTTTTCTGTATAAATTCTATTTCATGATAAGAATCTCTAAGTGGTTGCTGCGTTGTCGCGAATCAAACTTTCAGTCTATCCCACTCAAATCATGAAGTACAAAAATAGGATGTCCAGGTAATTTAATTACTCAGATATTATACATAGGACCAGGTATTAGGAGCCCAAAAGAATCTCAGAGGTCGTCTGGTCCTACCCTCTCATTCTGACAAAGGAGGAAACTGAGGTCAAATGACATGTTTGCAGGGTCACAAAAGTGGTAAAATATAGACAGGATTTAAAACCCAGGTCCTTTGACTTGAGATTAAGCACTTTCCCCACAGATTCTAAGATCCTTTTGGAAAATAACAACAATAACTTAGCACATACCTATACATACACATGTACTTTATAGGGACAGTGTAAATATGAAATATATGACATATACCAGACATCTAAACATTATCTCTGAAATTTAAGGATAATTCTCTATACATTCTTTATCCTTCTATAACCTAACAGGATAAGAGGGTGGGAGTTTCTCCATAATTATTTCTATAAATCATTGCATTTCTACTCCAGAGTTTCACTGTCGGAGGAGAGGGCCCTGGGTTCACAAAGATCAACATCTGCACTCCAGTTATTCAGACATTGTGTTTATTCAGTAAGTTTCGTGATGTATGTAGACAACTTCATCACATCCTAACACAAAAGGACGGTTTTGAAAGCATGCTACTGAAGGCGTTCTGTCGCTAGCACAGCAGGTTCCTCTAATACTAGGAAATTCAGGTCCTCTGCCCAGCTCCACTGCTGATTCATGGTGACCTTGTACATGTGTCCATTTTTCTATCTACACTAGCATAGTAGGAAAAGCACTGGACCTGAGTTTGAATCCTGGTTCTTTTTACCTGTGTGTGGTTGGACAACTCTCTATCTCTCTGCACCTTAGTTTTCTCATCTATAAAATGTGGGGATCAGACTAGATACATTCTAAGGACCCTTCTAGTTCTAGATATATAATCCTGTGTCAAAACTCCATTTTAAAATATATGGCACGTCCATCATAAGGAGACTCTATTGTTTCTAGTACTGCTCCTATGGGCCAAACAGAATAAATCTATTTTTTCTATCACATGAGAGCCTTTCAAATACTTGGAAGCAACTATCATACTTTGTTCTCCTGTATGACCCTAAATAAGTCACTGTGCCTCTCTCTCTGTTCCTTGGTTTCCTCATTTGTATAATAGAGTTGGAGTAGATAAATTCTAAGTTCCTGATGGATAAACAAAACATCTCTTAAAATATTGCATGGATTTTACAGGGATAGTGTGAAGATGAAACATATAAGGTCTGCCAAATGTTTTCTATGAAATTTAAGGATATATTCTATATCCCTCCATGACTAGGACATTTCATCTGCCCTGACAGCCCTCCACCTTCACACTGACTGCCAGTCTAGGAACAAAGCTCCATTCTCCCCATTCCCCATACCAGACAACCTATTAGAGTAGGCCCAAATTGGAGGGCAAGAACTTGAATAGGCCTCAGTGGTAGAGCCTTCCCTTGGAGATTATCTCTAGTTTACCTGTAAATATCTTGTTTTTATATAATTGTTTGTATGCTGTCTCCCCCATTAGACTGAGTTTCTTGAAAGCAGGGACTCTCCTCCTTTTACCCCCTTTATTTGTATCTCCAGTACTTAGCATAGTGCCTGGAGTATAGTAAGCACTTAATAAAAGCTTGTTGAATGGCCAGCTGACAACAGCAGACAACAATTCTGATTGAAAAAGAATAAGCCCCTTTTGATCCCAAGAGAGGAAAGATGTCAGAAGCATCTATTACCTTCTAAAACATCCCCAACAATCAGCTGTCCAGCATCTGCATGACCTCCAGTGATGGGGGAACCGCTTGCCTCCTGAGGTAGCCCTTTCAACTTTGGTTGGTGTAACCAAAATCAGCTTCCAGAACTTCTACCCACAACTGCTGTTACTACCCTCG